AACCCTGATTAAAAGCAACTTGGGGAGGAAAAGGTTGTGCTGGCTGGTTTTATGGCAAGAGACACGAGCTGGAGTCCTTTTAGAAAAGGGGCCTTAACTGAGAAAACGCCCCCTGCTGGCTGATCTGTGGGGAATCTTGTGGTGTATTTTTGACTGATGATGGGGGAGGGCCCAGCTCATTGTGGGTGGTACCACCTTGGGTAGGTGGTCTGGGTGCTATGAGAAAGCAGGCAGAGCAAGCCATGAGGAGCAGGCCAGTAAGCGGCACCCCTCCATGGCCTCGGTATAAGCTGGTGCCTCCAGGCTCCTGCTCTGTTTGAGTCCCTGTCCTGACTTCCCTCAGCAATGGAGTGTGACCTGAAACTGTAAGCTGAGAATCCTTTCCTCCCCAGGTTGCTTGTGTGAGGAGAACCCTGCAGGTGGTTCTGCAGGCAGGAAAGCCGACCTTGGAGTGGGAATGAAAATTCAGTTCCGACTGACTTCATCAACCTGGATCAGACTTGGGGAGTCTGACGCCAGGTGGTTCACTGTCAGTATATTTAAAACAGTACAACTTGGGGGAAAGTTTCCTGGTGTAATACAATCCCCAGCACACAAGAAAGTGTAATTACATCAAAACTCAGTTCAGGATAAAGGTCATTTCTTCCAAGAAGATTCATTCTAAAGATATACTCCATATACTAGTTTAAAGGCCTAAGGAAGGGTCTGGCCTGGTCTCAGTGATACAGAAAGCATAGAGGTCATTTGGGTCATTAACTGGCACAGCCATATCTGATGGGGATGGCAGAAGTCATAACGGCAGCACAGCTGTTTGACAATGATCCAGCAAAGCTGAGCCACATGATGGCTGCCATGCACCCTTGCTTTTCATCTCCTTCTGGTGCATACTTGGGAGACTTTGAATATTTGTACAATTTGGGAATGTTGGACTGATAAAAATATTTCTTATGAATCACTTATGCCTTCTCCCAGGAATGCCATTTCCAAACTTCCCCAGGACAGTCCTGAGCATACTATTTCCCTGCTTTACGGAGATATCCTTGTCTACTTGAAGGTCTTCCTTATGCCTTGGAGATGGTGACACACATAAAGAAGCCAGAGGTCTCTTTATGAGGCTATGGGACATTTTTGAGACACCTGTCCCTGTACTTACTCAGGAACAAGATAACCAAAACAAAGTAAACTTAAATAGGTGAACAAAGATTCAGTGGGCTAGAGGAGTTGGCCGCAGTTCATATTACAAGCCTCCTTCCACTATACACCCAGGCAATTACATGGCAAATACAGCAATGCAGTTAGACTAGCTGAAGCTACCTCTGTCCTACACAGAGTCTTACACCGATGGGCAAAGAATGATGGCAAAAGTATTCTACAATGGTATAAAATATAAACGTTATATTATGCCAGAATTTGAATAATAGCTGCAGCAGGTTGGGGCTATTCCTTGTGCACTCTGACCAGTAAGAGTTAATAATACACTGCTTGGGGCATGACAGCATGCCCAGGATGGCTTGAAGATTACTTGGTCAAAGGTCCTTGTAGCCACAGAAGCAACCACCCTGTCATGTGCCTCGAGATTCTTAAAAACAGGGTTATAGGGTTAATGAGTAAAAATGGCAACTCTGTTTATCAATGCTGTCAAAACTTGAGGGAAAATGATTGGAAATGGTAGCTCTGTTCTGTCATGGTTTATTAGTGATGACTAAAAGATGAACAAAAGGAAGCGAAACACGTGTGCAAAAATAAAAATGATGTGATCTATGTTTTGGAACAAGATGAATGCATCCCTACTTGCTAAATTCTGTATAAACTAGTTTGGCTGCTAGTCAGTCAGGCTGCAAGAGTCCCCCTGGCTCCTACAACTGGACCCTCCTACGCTGATCACCAACCAAGAAAACGTTTAACTGGGGAAAGACAGCAGGCCTTACACTGGCAGCTTGAGCCACTGGAATGGCTGGTATTTCACCTAACACCAACTTCTTCCGTGTCTAACTCAGATAAACTGAGGGGGAGGGGTTCTGTAAATGGTGTCTATAAACATAATAAATGATGGAGGAGGGTTATCTGTCTATTGTGTTATTTTCATTGGTCAATAAAGAGACTGCCTTGGCCCTTTGATAGGACAGAAAATTAGGTAGGCGGAGTAAACAGAATAGAATGCTGGGAAGAGGGCAAAGAGGCAGATGCCATGGAATCAGCCACCAGGTCAGACATGCTGAATCTTTCCCGGTAAGCCACACCTCGTGGTGCTACCACGAGATTATTAGAAATGGGTTAATCAAGATGTGAGAGTTAGCCAGTAACTAACTCTCTAGAGATAATGGGCCAGGCAGTATTTAAATGAATACAACTTATGTGTTATTATTTCTGGGGCTAAGCTAGCTGTGCAGGAGCCGGGCAGGAGGAAAAGCAGGCCTGCCCGCAGCTCCTCACTACAAATAAATAAAAATATTACCTGAAAAAAAAATAGAAGAAAATGTACTGTAAACTTGCTTACAGGCCAATCCTGCAGACATATCTTCTCAGTTATGATTCTTTCTTCCCAGATGACCCTGGCTTGTGTCGAATAGATATTAAAAACTAACCCATACAGTGACTAAAGTTCTTGCACGGTCAGAAGGACCTGCAAAAGAGTATCAATGCTTGAGGGGGAGAAGCAACAAGCAAAGTGTCTTCTGATCGGAGAGTGCTCCACTTTGCTGGCAGCAGGGGTCTACATCACAGGCAACAATTCCTGGCGGCTTCAGCAGGAGCCAAGCAGAGACAGCTCCAGTCCCACTGACCCATACACAAAACCTGCAGCCTCAGGGAATCCTGCTGATCTTAATGGCACTCTCCAGAGTTGCCAACTTCCTGAGCTTAAAATTCTGTTCTGTGCTTCCTGGGCCAATGGCTAACTAGGGAGAGAAGGTTGGCAATCCACTCCTGACGTATGTCACCATTTGATTGAGAACACTGAGACAAGGATCTAGAGCTCAATATTCAGACAGGCGAAACCGTCCACAGCTTCTTTAAAAGGTCGCCTGTCACCTGGGCTGCAGCTGTGGAAGCTGCTCTCCTCCCAGGTAGGAAGATCCCCGGTCCTGCGCACTGACCCACTGACCTGCCACAGCACTCGGAGTCTCACTCCCTCTTCAATTGTTTCCTAAAGACAACTCTACTGCCTTGTGCCGTCTGTCCCACCAAAACAGACCGGGAGACTTAAACTCAAGTTTCTTCAGTTGTGGGTCTCAACTACATATGAAGGTCACAAAATGGATGGCAATAGCCAAAGTTTTCTGAAGACTTAATAAGCAGACTATTATCAAAAATCAAACACCTGATTCTAAGATAAGCCTGACAGTGTTATCTGTGTCATATCGTGTGGCTTCACGGAAGCCTTCATTCTACACACACAATTCACAAAGCCATTCACCCTCACAGTAACAGCTTGGGTCATTTAAAAGGAGGACAAGGTGCCAGTGAGGTAGTTCATGGGTAAAGGTACTCCATGCATTAGCCTGGGGATACTACAGGGGTTAAAGTGTTTCATGCGTTAGCCCAGGGACCCGAGTTCTCTCCTGGAACCTACATAAAGGTGGAAGGAGAGAACCGACTCCACAAAGTTGTCTGCTGACCTCCACATGCATTCTGTGGCTCAGTCTCCCACAAACACACTTTACACATTCATGCAATAATAAGTTCCTTTTTAAAAAATAAGACAAAAACACTGAGATGTTTATCAGCAAGATCCAACACAAAATTATCATACTTTACCAGTAAATTCTATGAAACACTTACTTTTTGTATTAGTCAGGGTTCTCTAGAGGAACCGATCTGATAGTGTGTGTGTGTGTGTGTGTGTGTGTGTGTGTGTGTGTGTGTGTGTGTG